AGAGAGAGAGAGAGAGAGAGAGAGAGAGAGAGAGAGAGAGAGAGAGAGAGAGGGGGAGAGAGAGAGAGAGGGAGAGAGACAATGTTGTGATTCCACACCTGCCGTCGCTCGCGCTTCCTCCTTTCATTCTGTCCGGATATTGATTCTGTCTAGCAGCGATGCGTGGCCCCGCATCTGATTCTCACTGTCATCGTTCGCAGACGATTCTATGCGTCACGCATCACACGACTCTTACCGCACAGACAAACACAGAGCGCGAGAGAGAGAGTCAACACAACACACGGGAGCGCGACCTTTGACAAACAGCGCCGCCCGACGTCGCAGAAGCACACCGTGGTGATAGCACTGCTCTGATTGATTGATATATTGATTGAGTAATCGATGAGCTTCGATCTCTGTTGTATCGATGACGTTATCGCAGGTGGTGACGTCGTGACGCCGCCATAGCGGTAGCAGACGCACGCATGGGTGTCTATATATATATATATATATATCATCATCAACATCGTCATCATCATCACTGCACACGTTGCGCCGACTATAGTCACGTGCTCCGTTCGTCTGCACTGCCGTTGGGCTGCACTTCCGTCCGTCTGCAGGTCGCAACTTGTCAGAGTTGTCTTCATTACATATTAGCGGTTTATACACGCCCTTCTCACTCGGTCTAAAATAATCACACGCGTACATACGTGCGTGCGTGCGTGTTGGTGCGTGGCACGCGCTCACGGCGTCGGCGGTAGCTCCACGCGCGCGAGCGACGCGACGACACACGCAGCCGCCGCGGCGATGGCGACGACCCACGGCGACGCCGACGTCGGCGTAGCGGCGTCTCGGTCGCTGCGTCGGCGCGACTCGTGCGGGAAGTCGCACAGCTCGTGCATGAACATGCGTCGCATATCGCACTCGGTTCTCGCCGAGCGCTCGCTGCAGGCGCAGAAGAGAAAGTCGGCCCCCGTCTGCGACCAGTAGAGTACGGATATCGTCCGATTGCACAGCTCCGTGCACTGTTCCCCCTCCAGCATGTCACCGCAGTGGCTGCGGAAGTAGGTGAGGCCCAGGTTGCAGGTGACGTCGTGGCGACAGCGCTCCTCCGCGACGTCACAGTCGACGCCGTTTCCGGTGCGCACGTCGACGTCCTTGCACAGTCGGTGCGCCGTCTTCGTGTTCTTGCAGCGCCAGTCGGCGGCGTCGCACGCGCACCGCTCCAGATACTCGTAGCCCATGTCGGTGACGGCGAACGTGAGGAAGGCGCGCCGGCAGGGGGTGCTGCAGTTGCGCGACGTCATCGCCGTCTCGGCGCCGCACGAGATGTCGAGATTGAGTCTCGCTTCGCCGCAGCGCACGCCCTGCTTGCAGCGCTCGCCGACGTCGGCGCACGTGTCGGCGGCGATGGCGACGGCGACGGCGACGGCAGCCGACGCCAGCAGCAGTGATAGCACGTGAACTGACGTCGTCATCGCTGGGTATTGTGGATGCACGCTTGCTGCTGCTGCTGCTAGGTGAGAGAGACACTAGTTGATCACGCCGAGGCGACGGTGGCGGCACGGGAGTGACGTCACGGGTGTCACCGCGTGTGACGGCTTCCTGCTAGCGGGATTCATCGTCGTCGTTCATCACTCGCGCCGGACGTCCGCTGTTTGTCACCTGCAAATAGCGTGTCAGACGTCATCCGGTTATTCCGCAGGCTCTCCGTCACGCGCGCGCTCTTCCTGAAACTCCGCCGGCACGCGCGCGAGCAATTATGACATCACAGTGAGTGACGTATGGAGGCGGATGTAGAATGACGCGGGAATGACGCGGAAATGTTTAACATGACGCAGGAATATTTATCGTGACGTGGGAATGTTTAACATGAAGCGGGAAATGTTAAATATGATACAAGGAATATATTACACGACGGAGAAATGTTTAACATGACGCAGTAACGTTTAACATAACATGGGAATATTTAACATGACGCAATAATGTTTAACATGACGCAGTAATGTTTAACATAACATGGGAATATTTAACATGACGCAGTAATGTTTAACATGACGCAGTAATGTTTAACATGACGCAGTAATGTTTAACATGACGCAGAAATGTTTAACATGACGCAGAAATGTTTAACATAACAGAGTAATGTTTAACATGACACAGAAATGAGCGCGTTCATTATCTAGATTCATTCTACTCACCGTTACGTAACCAAGATCGAAAACTGCTAAAGAGCGAATGCGTGCGTTCGTGCGAGCGCGTGTGTGTATGCATGTGTGCGTGAGTGCGTTCCTGGGTCCGTGACTATGTGTATATGTGTGTGGGGGGGGGGGTATTGATTATAAACTCAAAATTTCAGTTTACGTATATGGCGTTCAAGGCAAATAGTGATACACCTAATATGTTCACATCTGTCGTGCATATCTTACAGTGTTTAATGTGCACTTGTTTAACGAAAATAACTAGGTGGACTAAATGGATATATCGTCTGATGAAACGTCTGCGGTTTTTTGTGCACGCGCCGCGTTAGTCACACATCACTTGATTACAGCAAGCGCTAATAATACATTCGTATTAACATAATACACATAATAATGTATTATTAGCTGTTGATTACATGTAGATACCGTACACATTCATGAGAGATGCATAGAGAGAACCCGCGGGCGAAGCGACGTATACTAAACACACCACTACATGGTTCAAATAGCCGCAATCCTTGTACGTCTAATTTCGCACGAGTGCAACATTAATTTCATCCCGGTCCGCATCTCGTAAGACAGTGTCCCCGCAGTGGGACAGAAAAACATCGTATGTGTCATATGTCATCGTACGTCTAAAATGCCATTACTTCTCAAGTATCGTTCAAAGATTGCGACATTTTTAGCCTTGTGATAGTCATAACGTCAGAACAATATATACGTATTATCAGGAGCGTATAATGACAAATACGCTCCTGACAATACGTATAATGACAAATCGCTCCAATAAATCCGTATAATTTGTCATTATACGCTCCTGATATTATATATACATATATATTGTTCTCAGGTCATAACTATATTTACGATCTTTCTGCACAACGGACCCAATACCTCGTGACCAAATACCACGCAGTACGTACGTAAATGTGCATGTACGTATTCACGCCTCCTTGCTATTCATTTGGTTGGACGTACAGTTGACAGTGGAAAGGGAGTGAATCGAGTTTAGTCGCGTTTGAGAGAACGCAACGTAATTAGAACGCTGACACTTTGACGACATGAGAACCAAGCCCATCACCGGCTGCGGTACTGCGCATGCGCGCGGAAAAACGATTGCGTAATGTTTTCCTCTCGTCTGGCGATCACTTCAAGAAATTATGTAATTACAAAGGTGAGGAAACTCCGTGAATCGTGGAGTGAGTGCGCGCGTGTGTGCGTGTTTAGTTGTGTGTGTGTGTGTGTGTGTGTGTGTGTGTGTGTGTTTGGTGTGTGTGTGTTTGTGTGTGTGTTTGTGTGTGTGTGTGTTTGTGTGTGTGTGTGTGTGTGTGTGTGTGTGTGTGTGTGTGTGTGTGTGTGTGTGCGTGTTTGGTTGTGTGTGTGTGTGTGTGTGTGTGTGTGTGTGTGGTGTGTGTGCGTGCGTGTTTGTGTGCGTGCGTGTTATGTGTGCAGTGTGTGTGGTGTGTGTGTGTGTGTGTGTTGTGTTGTGTGGCGTGTTTTGGTTGTGTGTGTTTGTGTGTTTGTGTGTTGGTTGTGTGGTTCGTGTGTCGTGTGTTGTGTGTGTGTGGTGTGTGTGGTATTGTGGTGTTTGTGTGTGTATGTGGTATGGGTATGTGTGTGGTGGGTGTGTGTGTTTGGTTTGTGTGTGGTGTGTGTTTGTGTGCTGTGTGTGTGTGTGTGTGGTGTGTGCTGTGGTGCATGTTTGGTTGGTGTGTTTGTGCGGTTTGTGTGTGTGTGTGGTTTGTGTGTGTGCATGTGGTTGTGTGTGTTTGTGTGTGTGTGTATTGGTGTGTGATGTGTGTGTGTGGTGTTGTGTGCGTGTTTGTGTTGGTGTGCGTGTTTTGTTTGTTTGTTTGTGTGTGTGGTGTGTGTGTGTGTGTGTGCGTGTGTATGCGTGTGTGCGTGTGTGGTGTGTGTGTGTGTGTGTGTGTGATGTGTGCGGTTTGGTTGTGTGTGTTTGTGTTGGTGTTGTGTGTGTGTGTGTGTGTGTGTGTGTGTGTGTCTGTGTGTGGTGTGTGTGTGTGCGTGTTGGTTGTTTGTGTGTGTGTGTGTGTGTTGTGTGTGTGTGTCTGTGTGTGGTGTGTGTG